GCGGGGCAGGGCTGGGACAGGGACAGGCCGTGGTACCTCCAGAGCCTCCTGTTGAACCATACCTAAGATGTCTTCTGCAGCCCCATGCAGGGCCAGGCGGCAGGCAGACGGTTCGGTTATGCCTCTCTCCTGGTTGTCAGTACCTTGGTGCGGCCCTGCCTGTCCACGTGCTGCCCCCGGCACAAGCGGGCACAGGGGCTTTCACATTACGAGTTACGTTACCTACGAGTTAGGTTACTCATGATTCCTGGTACGTAAACGGACCTACATATTACCAAAGGGTACTGTTCCATGATGCTCTTCATTGAACCAACTCTGGATTGCTGCAGGACAGCTGTACCAGTGGTCTTCCTGCTCACCTTGACAAATCATAGGGTCGGGCTCGTGTAGGATGATATTGCCGCAAGAGTCGGCCAGTGGGATGTTGCATGGTTAGAAATGGGCAAGGAGGTCATCTCACCATGGCAAACAGGCAAATGAGTCCACAAGTAAGCCCTGTTCCTCAGATGTGGTCTTTATGTTGAAAATGTTTAAGAGTCCCTCAGCTAGCTTCTGTTTTCTGCCTGCTTCCAGGTAGGGAACCACTGGTGGAAGCAAACCCAAGGAACCCATTTGCAGACTCTGAGAATTAGCTTGGGATAGTCATAAAAGGCTGTCTGGCAGCCAGGCATCTCTCAAGGAGCCAAGTCCAAGTTATGTGCACGTCCTTAATTTAGCCATTGCTTAATAATATGTGAATGGTAAACTGCAACCTTCAAATAGTCTCCTAATATAAATTTGCAACAAACATCCTTGGGATCATTTTCAAAGAAAAGAGCTTGAATAAAAATCAACAGGAGATAGTCTCTGAGGCTTTGAGGATGTGCTGACTGCTTTAATAAAAGGCAACTGAGCCAGAAAGGCTCTCTGCCAGGGATTTCTCTGCGATCTCTTTCGAGGGCAATATCCTTGAACAAGACCACCTGATGTCAACTGCTTTTAACCACAGCCTCCTGCCTACCAAATGAATACACCAAACATCGCCATGTTCAGTAAGCGTGTGGAGGCAAAGCAGATGAAGCCCCAGGAGTGGCTGGGCTTTGTCCACACACCCCACAGCTCCTGCACAAAGCGTCTCACAATCACGCGTGCCTCTGGGGCGGGTAAGTTTGTCCTGGGGCTGGGGTTGGGGTGTGCTCAGCTGAGAGTGGTGCTGGCTCTGCTGGCTGCGGCAGTATCTCTAAAGCACCCTGCGATAAGCAAGGACTCAGTGTTGCTGATTTTCCTGTGTTGTTCCATTTCCTGGTCACATCCTACACCGCAGACCTCCAGGCCAGCTGAAATGCCTCCGTGTCCCCATGGCAGGGGATGTTGGAAATGCCTGGGCGCTTTCCATGGGAGCTGGCAGCACCTAGAGCTCCGCGCCGGCTCCTTCCTTACCTGCAGCACTGCTTGCCTCTAGCCCGGTGTATTTGCATCATCTCACCAATAGCTCACCATCCTGGGTCCTGGATGGGGCTTCCAGGCCAAAGTGTAGGGGGGAATTGCTTGTCTGGCCCTCTGCCCGCCTGGGCAGCCAGCGGCTCCGCCCCC